CAAGTGAAACACATTTTCGATATCAATTCCGATACGGGTTTCATAGAATCAAAAATTTTAAAATCATTCAAGTTTTCTGAATTGATGAAATTTTTTTCATAAATACTAATTCACCCACCCTTTAGTGTCGACTCAATCCTAACAAAATAAAGGAAACATGGGTGTGAGTAACGGGGCGAAAGTAGTGACCGATAGGTAGAGGATAAGAATAATTTTATTTTTAGAAAAATAACATTCTACCATAATAAATAAAAAATAAATACTAATTAGAAAAAAGAAGAAAAACTAATTTTTTAAAATGATTTGCTCATTATTTTTTGGACCTATGTATAAATACTTATCATCGTCCTCACTCGTGGTCTCTTAAATCTCGTTAACGCATATTTGATCATTGCCATGCACAATACAACTAGAGGTGTAAACGAGGTGAGCACGATGCAAGACAAAGACAATGAGGTCAAAGTGGATGACCATAAGATGCACATCGAAGAGGTTGTAGTCTTAGTCGATGGTAATAATAATAACGAGGATAAAGGTGCGTAAGCGAGGACAACAACTAAGATGAGAGTGCACATACAAGGACGATGATAATGTAATTACCATCACCCTCATTTGTCGTCCCATCTCTTGCCATAGCTACAATCTCGATGGGAAGAATGCATAGACGAGACGAGAGATGAAGAGAGAGGCGTTGAGAGTAATTTGTTTGAAGGCCAAGGCAAGTATTTGTTTGGACCTATAAATACTTTATAAGAGTAATTTGTCTTAAAAAAAAATACTTTATAACAACAAATAGGAAAATAAAAAAAAGATTCTTTTTAGAAGATTTGCTCATTATTTGTTTGGACCTATAAATAAATACTTGTATTAAAGGCCTATGTATGCATATATATATATCCTATATAAAAAACGAAGCCCTCTTGTTTGTTCCATTCCGGAACCCTAATTTCAGGGTAATCCGTACCTCATCGTCGCCATGGCGAAAAAGCGAAAGCCACCTGTCCAAATCCCCGAACCCTCCTCGTCGGAGGAAGAGGAGGCGGAAGAAGAAGTCGAAGAGGTGGAGGAGGTGGAAGAAGTAGAAGAAGAAGGATCCGAAGAGGAGGAGGAGGAGGAGGAAGAGGAAGAAGAAGAAGTCGAAGAAGAAGACGAAGCCCAAGACCAAGAAGAAGAGAAGAAGGCGAAATCTGAGGAAAAGGAGGAACAGGTAGAAGTAGAAGAAGCCGATGTCTTGGACCGTGAGTCAATACGCAAGCTCCTGGAGCCCTTCGGCAAGGACCAGCTGATCGAACTCCTCAAGGAGGCCGCGCTCCGTAACCCCTCTCTCCTCTCCCAGATCGCCTCTGCGGCCGACTCCGACCCCGTCCACCGAAAGATCTTTGTCCACGGCCTCGGTTGGGATGCCACCACCGAGGTCCTCGCCGCCGCCTTCACCACCTACGGCGTCATTGACGAGTGCAAGGTGGTCACGGATCGCGCCACTGGCCGCTGCAAGGGCTACGGCTTCGTCCTCTTTCGCACGCGTGCTGCGGCCCAGAGAGCCCTCCTGGAGCCTCAGAAGAAGATCGGCAACCGCATGACCTCCTGCCAGCTGGCATCCTTTGGCCCTCCCGGCGCCCAGGGCCCTGCCCCCGAGGTTACCGGCCGCAAGATCTTCGTCAGCAACATTGGGGAGCACGTGAACCCCGAGCGGCTGCGTGCCTTCTTTGCCAAGTTTGGGGAAATCGAGGAAGGTCCGCTGGGGTACGACAAGACCACGGGGAAGCTGCGGGGTTTTGCCATCTTCGTCTACAAGACGGTCGAGGGGTGCAGGAAGGCCCTGGAGGAGCCGAAGAAGTTCTTCGAGGGCTGTGAGCTGAGCTGCCAGAGGGCGGTCGAGGGGCTTAAGCCGAAAAATCAGGCAATTGGGGGTGCCAATGTGCCGGCGATGTTGCAGCCAAACGATTTGGCGCTGACCTATGCTTCACAATCTTTAATGGGTCTCAATCCGGTGGCTGGTTTAGTTGGGCAGAGTTTAAACCCTGCAGTGGGGTTGTTGGGGCAGAATGTTGGGGTTGGAGTGCTGAACCAGGGTCCGGTGGCTCAAGGGATGTCACCATCTCTGAGTAGGAGTGGGATGACTCCTCCACCTTATGGAGTCGGATTAGGAGGGGTTGGTGGAGGTGGGACAGGGGTGAATAGTATCAGTCCCAGTGTAATTGGGAGCTATCAATCGCAGGTAGCTTTGCAAGGATTGGGGGCTTATCAGAACAGTTACTTGTCTTCATCAACAGGGGTAAGGTCAAAGTCTGATATTGGATCACTTGGTAATGGCTTGCCACCATACTTTGGGCGCTAGGTGAGTTATTCTGAAGTCCTTGCAATGTTAACATAGCAAAGCTTGCTTGCTTTTATTGAACTTTTACATCTCTCTGGTTTAATTGCAAAAAGTACATAGTTCCACATGGCATGCTGATAAATTTTATTGCATCTAGTCATTCTAGTCATAGCATTCATGTGCTAGCATCTTCATCAAACAAATTGGAGGCAACTAATTCAAGGAAAATGCAACAGAAAGAAGGACAAATTTCAGTTATGCATAGGCTAGGGAAGGATTGAATCATGTCTATCTAAAAGAGGATCAAATCTTGTTTCTCTAAAAGGAAGTCAAAATACAAGCTAAAGCAAAATAAGCTGATATAATTTATAATGGATTTTTGCAAGTCTTAGATTAGTGAATACGAAAGGTGAAAGTCATCAAGTATTTAAGCTGTGGCCATTTGCTTCTTCTGTAGTTAATATCTTTGTGCTTGGTTATTATTCAGTGTGGAATTGGTAAGTTTTTATGATGATTTGCTTGACATTTCTTTTGCCATCCTTGCCTTCTTTGTTTAGTGAGCCTATTTTTTTATATGAGAATCAGCATCTAGACTAACATAAGATATAAATGTCTTTTACAACTGGTATTAAATGAACAAAACTGGTAATGTTTCATTGTACATATATGTTAATTGTTAATGATACTAATGGAGTTCTACTCCTTGTAAGAATATTATAGCTCAATATCACACAACATTATGTGAATTACAATATTTTGTTACTTTTCTTATCAGCTATGTGCCAGAAACTTACATCTAGTGCAATGATGATCTTAAAACATGAGGTGTTGAATTTGTTGGAGAGTTTGCACTAAAGGCCATTTTAAAATTTTATAATATGGGCTTTGTTGGTGTAAACAATTTTTTTAGCCGTGGCCTCGGGGCCGACGCGGCTTGTTCGGGGGTCCGAATGACGGGGATCTAGCGCGGCATTTCTCGGGGTCTCCCGGTGGCCCATCGCGGTGGTCTGGTTGGAAGAAAAGCTTCGCCGCGGCGTCGGGTAGGGACGACTCCGGTCTAGCACCTGCACACAGGTCAGGTCGGAAGCTCGGCCCGACCCCTCCGACGATCAAGTCAGTGATGTGGAGTGGGGTTTTGGATGAGGAAGTGCTTTTTTTGTGTTCCCCCCTATTTTGTTTGGAGCTCGGGGGTATTTATAGGTAAGTTTGGTGTTACCTGATGTGCCAGCCTGTCGGAGCAGGACCGTACCTCTGATGGCGTCTGACATCGCCGTTGGTGTTGCGTGAAGGACCGAGCTGCCGCAGGGTATGAGCGAGCTTCGGTCGACGCTTTCCCCTGCCTCGGTCGGTCGTGCGAGGTCAGACGATGAGGTCGTCTGAGAATGGTTGATGTGAGCGCGCATTAAGTCGGCGTTAATGCTCACTTCCTTGGGCAGTGTGTCGTCCAAGCGTGGCTGACGTCATGGCGCACCATGTCGCCATTTTTGTCCTTATCATATTCCCCCCCTAAGGAAGCTATGCCTCGATTGATGTGAGGGGAGGTTCGAGGCATGACTTCGGCTTTAAGAAACTCTACCTGTCGGGCGGTTGCCGGTCTGTTGCCAGGGGTGTGAGAATTGCGGAGCTTAGCAGCTAAGAAGGGTTGGACGCGTAGCGGTGATCTCGGGCAGTGTGCGGCCGTGGAGCACGGCGCAGGCGTGGTCTCGGGCAGTGTGTAGCCGAGGAGCACGACGCAGGCGGGCTGGCCGCGCAGGTGTGGTCTCGGGGAGCATCAAGCCGAGGAGCACGACGCAGGCGGG